GAAGAAGTTTCTCAGCGTTAGCAAACATTCTGTCCAGCCGTTGCCACATTCTCGAATTAGCCCCTCCGATTGAATACAGTCCCCAAATTCATCCATTGCCAACACAGATGGAGAGGCACCCCCCATTCTTTCATTTGACCTCATCACAATGTTAAATCCCCCATCACCAACCAGGGCATAGCAAAGGAGTAGAAATAACCTGTAAGTGTCCCCACAAGGGCCTCCTTAACAAGTAAGTCCACAACAACCATACACCACCGTAACTAACACTGGATCAGCTCCCTGGTAGGAGACTGACACGGTCATAGCTTGTTCAAAGTGCAGCATGCTCTTAACTGCCAAGTTATCATTCCATAAAAAGCCACATATTTTTCTCTGCCTTTGTGTTTGCCATAAAAGAATTTAACCCAACAGCAAGACCAAAATTCCTTAGTTTGGTATGGGACATTTTTGGTTCAATAACAGCGAGAAGACTCACCTTATTCATTACAATTAATTTCTTTAATTTGCTTCTTAGGCTCTCTTTTCCAGCACCCCTTACATCACCTTATTCATTACAATTAATTTCTTTAATTTGCTTCTTAGGCTCTCTTTTCCAGCACCCCTTACATTCCACATTAGGAAATTCATCATAAAGAATTTGTTTCATCATTACCTCTGGGACTATGCCCAGTACTGCAGTCGGAGTAGTTCACTGTTGTTTGGTTTAGCAAGATAATTCCTTGATCTTCATTTACAGTGGCATCTTCACTTGAATCAGCCCAATTTTTTGAGCTTTCTTGATCAGAGTAAAAGCCCCTGTCTGGTGGTTCTTTATCCCTCCTGAGTCCACTTTCGTCATCCACGGTGTAATTTTGTCTGCCTCTTAGCTCATACAGATGATCCACAAAGAAAGAAGATGAGGTAGGTGAATGAGATTGTTTATTTAACGAGCACATTACTGTACCTGCCATCTGTTGCACCTCTTTAGACCCTTCCGCCTGAGGTTGAGAAAATAGAGCATTATCCATACCGTTCTGTATACCCTTTTCACCTCTTTCGGGAGATACCTCCATTAATGACATTTCTTTCTCCTTTTCTGCGCCCTGTAACCTCTCCTCATCCGGTGTTACAGTAACCAAATCCTCCTTGTTTTTTGCCTCAGAACTTACAACAGTGCTTTTTTAAGTAATTGAATCCCCGTTATGATTTTCCGTTTCATCTTTTCCCTCTCCTGCGACATCCTTGCCCGAATGCTCTCCTCTTAACACATTAAATTTATTGGCATCCTCCTCTCCTCCTACATCTAAATTTATAGGATTCGAGAAACTGTGGTGCTTGGTGACCCTCTTTCACGGTTACTTTGGAATTCGCTTTTTTTGTGACTTTCTGCCATGCCTTATCTTTCCCCTTAAGGTCCTCGTCTTTTTTCGAGATGCCAGCTTTCTGCTTTCTTTCCTCCTTAGGGTTGTATGCCTGTTTGTCCACTTTGTTTTCCTCTTCCCTTTTGCCTTTACGACACTCGAGCATCCCATGGCCTTCTTTCAAACACCCAGCACAATACTTCACCAATTTTTCATAATTAATCTTTTGCCAACGCCCACTTGTTCCGCCAAAATTCAGCCAAAGACGAGATGGGTTATCAGCTAATAAATTAACTTCGACACATACGCTAGCCACACCTGGCCTAGATAATAGGAGGGTGGGTGAGTCAATTACAAGGATTCTCCCGATGGGACTCAAAATGTCCCGAAGGCTCTCCTTATCAAAGAGGTGAATTGGCAAACCTGGGAGAGAAATCCAAATAGGAACCACTGGTGGTTCAATCCCAGGCAGGAACTCCGAAAACCACTTGAAGAACCTGAACAAGAAGCCCTCGATGTGTGTTGCATCTGTGAAACCCGGGAAAATTTGAACTTTTTCTTAGAAAGGGTAAAATGGTAATTTGTCATCCTAATGCGTATTTAAAATACTCATGTTCTAGACCTCGGTTGAGGAAACGGAGTTCGCCGTTGGATTCGTATCGCAAAATCTAATCACCCTGTCAAATTTCGTCGAATTTCGAGATAGATGAATTTTTGCACGTTGTTCAAGGCAACTACGAGGCGAATGACATTTTAAAGGTCCCCAAAAATGAATTTTTTAATTTTTTTTCTTAAAATCAAGTTAAAGTTCCAATACAATTAATTTTAACTAAATCTGAGGTATAACAAATCGTTTCGGAACGAAAAACGGACCCAAAAGTCTGAAATATGCGGTGCGATATGGACCACACATTCAGGACTATAAATACCTACTTGACTTAAATATTTTGGAAAAAATATCTCATGTTCTTGACCCTTGGCCGGCCATAGAGAGAAGAGAATGAAAAGAGAGAAAAACAAGTAAGTTCTTCAAGCTTCAATCCAAGATTCTCGGAGTTTCGTCGGTCGGAATTCGTCGAGTCAAGAATCAAAGTTCATCTCCTCGACGAGGGTTACGTGTACGTACCAAGAAAAGTGGATTTCACCGAAGGTGCAAAGAAAAGACTTTGGAGGAATCAAAGGTTCTTGGGCTTGTTTTGGTGTTTTTTAGAAGTTCTACCACTTCTTACACGCTACAAGAGGTAGGGTTCGCTCCTACCTTGGTTTTATTCTTACCTTAAGTGGGCTTTTAGTGGCTGAAAATGGTTTATATGTGGGCTGTCCAAATAGACTGTTAAGGGGCTGAATTACGAACTGTTTTGGTGCTGAAATTGGGGCTGTTTTGTGCACTAATTAGGGGCTGTATACAGACTGTTTTTGGGGCTGTTTTAAGGCCTACTTTGGGGCTATTTTGGGGCCTATTTTGGGGCGGTTTAGTGGCTAAATTTTGGGCCACTATGGGCTGATTTTCTTGTGGGCTGAAATATGTGCTATATTTTGTCTTTTAACTTAAGTGTGTTTTTGACATAGATTATGTGATAACATGCTTGTCAATTGTGTTGAATATAAATGTTGACACATGCTAGTTGATGTTTTGACATTGTGATGAAATTATGGGGATTATTAGCATATGATATAAATCGCCATGGTAGACATTGATGTGTAAAAATTGTTCCTTTGGCATGCATTGCAATATGAACAAGGAATTGGCATCACATTCATGGGCATGAGTCATGAGTGTGGATGTGTGTATGCATGGTTAATTAAACACCATTCTTGGTGATTAATGGGTAGACTCGAAAAAGTTAGGTTGAAAATCTGAATGAGTCACATGGTTGCATGAAAGAAAAACTTGTGTCGGGTATAGCAAGAAGGGGTAGATTCCCCCCTCGGGTGCAAGACTCGGCGACTTGGTTATACATTCCCCTGTAGTGAAATTCCAAAAAAGTGTAGTATGGTGTACGGAACCGGCGGTATAAAATCCAAAATCCGTTGCCCAACAAGACACAAGATTTTGATTTATAAAGTACTCATATAATGAGTAACACCCATTAATGATTTGGTTTTATAATAAAACAACTTTTATTTCAAACGATCATTTGGTGAATTTTTTCGTCAATTGACGGATTCAGTATACCTTGGCATTGCATTGTGTCGTGGGAGTCGATGATGACTTGGGTTTAAGTGTATGAGTGAGTATCATCTCATTTCATGGCATGACATGATTACATTCCACATTTAATGCATATTCTTGTATGGAATGATTGTTAAATGTTGTTTGTTGCTTATATACACCACATATGCATCTAAGGTGGAGAGTAGCCTCTAGAGGGATTATTCTACTGGGCGTTAGCTCACCTTATACTGCAAAACATTTCAGGTGGGAGAGATAAATCGGTAGATGGCTCCAATTTGGACCCTCATGTTTGAAGAAAGCCGAATGTGGCTTTATTTTGTGATAATGTAAAACATTTGTGGAAATAATGTTTTGGACATGTAATATTTTGCAAATAATTGTAATAGAACTTATATAGACTATTGTTAAACTAACTTTGCATGTGTTGATATAAATATGGATAATTGGACCCGGTGTGGTCATTGTTGAATATTGGACCTCGGATGGGTCTTGTTATTATATGATTGCACAGGTTGAGTTTTTGGCAGAGCTTCCCGTACAAAGGAGACTCTGCCCGAATTTCATAAAAAATTATGGTTTCCAGTAAATGGCGCATAATGGCGTGATATCAAATTACTCGGTATCCACGGGTTGATGGGGAATCAACGGACCCCCAAATTTTGGGGTGTCACAGCATCCTTTAACCATGTCTTGACGTAATCCTCATTGTAATCAATGCGTGTCTTGGATCCAAGACCCCGACAGTGAAGTTGCCTTTCAGGAGCCATCTGGTAGTGATGAATTCCCTGATAACACCAACTGATGGTTAACCATATGCGCATTTTCCTATTAAGGTCTGGTGGAACTTCTTTGAGAGAGTTTGAGTTTCCTCAGAAGACCAATACATCCCAGGTTCCCCGTTATTGAAAACCACCCGTTTGGCTGGCCTAAAATAGGATGCTGAAGGCATTGGAGAGGAGACCCCTTCAATCGGCTGTGGAGACTGTGTATCCGAAGAGCTCGAAGGAGCCGAAGGAAAAATGAACACCAAAGGAGGCAAAGTTGATGGGGGTTTTTTTGAAAAGGGGAGCAAAATTTTTTGTAATATCAGATCCGGGTTGGAGATTGGGATTTGTGGGGAGGATACCAGAGGAGTTTGCGATTACCTGTTGCGATCCTGAAGCATTTGCACCATCTGCCCTAACTCGGACAATTGCACCGATTGTGGAAGGATTTTTGCAATATCTGTTGTAGATTGTAGATTCGGGTTTGTAGGAGGCATACAAGAGTTCTTTGTGACATCTTGCAACGTTGTTGAAGCTTTTGCCCCATTCTGAACAGTATCGGTAAAGTGTGCCGATGTTGACTGGATTAAAGGATTTAAAGAAATCTTGGGGGTTGTGATGGAAATAAGGGAAACATCCGGTGGCTTAGGAGGGATTTGACTCTGATTTTGATCAGCAGTCATAATAAATGCGCAGAACAAAGCATAAAGATCAAGAATGCAGGAAAAAGCAAAGAAAACCTAGAGAGTGGTGAGAGCTTCTCTCACTAGAAAAACAATAACTGCCCTTGACTAAACCTAAACCCTAAATTCTAAACCCTAAAACCCTAAACTCTAAACACTAAACCCAAAATGACACAAAACCTAATGCAATACTAATAATGTCCAAACTATAGACAACCGGTGCCTAAAGATACCATCTAACATAAAAAAAAGTAGTTGATTTGGAACATTTCTCCTTCCATTGCTTGAATAAGAGAAATTGAATTCAATATGGGTTTTGCTAATTTTATAAAAAATTCTAACGGAATTTCCTCTAAAAATAGGAGTCCAAATAAATATCAACTTGTCACAAAATTTATATATCTCATAATCATACCTAAACCAATTACTGAACTCATCGTCATATTATAGTCTTGTCTAAACACGGCTATCTACAAATTACCACAACATCATAGTGATATTAACCATTAAAAATGATAAATAATGACCTTTTGGGAAAAAACAATGATAAATAATCGTAATTATACAATACACTTGTAGGTAGTAGCAAAATTGTAGTGATTGCTACTATCAATGTTTATTCTTTAACCTAGGCACACCTCATGGTAGCTGTAACACCCCGCATTTTCTTTTATATATGTATATAGATATATAGTAAATAATTGTTGTAAAAATTGGGGATATGTGTAGTGATGTGTGTTTGAATTTGGTAGAATGAAAAAGGGATAAACAGTGCACTGGCTGTAACATCAAGCTCGATTTCGACGTTGATGCAGTCCATATCTCTCAAAACTTAAAACATGAAATTTGTAGATCTCTCTCTTAGGATTCCATATCACCTTGAATCATCTCAATCGGAACTAGGAGGAAGGAGTTATGTCCATATTACGAAGTAGTGTCTACACTGTCCAAAAATCTGTCCGGCAGACTACCTTTCGCTAATTTCATCATAACTCTTTATTGGAAAGTCCGAATTGTGCACCGTTATTTTTGTTAGAACCCTAACTCGTATATCTTTCCAACCATATAGGTTACACCTCCTAGAAATACCTGAGTCAAATCAGTTTATTCTATGAAGTTGACCAAAAATCTGCACTATGGTGCTCCTTGGATAGTAAAGGGTTGTGCTTTCTTATTAGACCTTGAAGGTGTAAAACCCCATATGTTTACATTAATATATTAAGGTACTTGTTTAGTGATTCTTCTATATGTAATGACTTAAGAATAAACCATATATATATATTAAAATCGTAAGGATATCACCTATAGTAGTTCGAAGGAATAAAATAGAAATTTTAATGTTCCAAGTGTGAATTTATTTTAGTTTTGAAATAAATCATAAAAAGCAATGTTTTTAGGTTAAAATAACATTAAAAATGAATCCGGAACGTCAAAAAACCTTAGGGTAGTCGTATGGATCAAATTGGAGATTTTTAGTGGCAAAACTGTAATTTTGGAAAAAAAAACTCAAAATTCAGCCCATGAACAGTGATTGTCGCGGACTGCTGTGTTTAAAACACAGAAACCAGCCCATTTCCTTCCATTTTTTCTCACATCTCTCACCCCCAAACCCCTTAGCACCCTTGGGGAAGATAGAGGAAAGGAGGAAAGGGAGAAAGGAGGTCATTAGAGCTTGGGTTTGTGGTTTGAAACTTTGATTCAAGGTAGGGGTTATTTCTTCCATGCTTGTCCATTGAGGCTAAGGCTAAAATATATATATGTTTTGATTCATACTTGTATGTATTTGCTAGGAATTCCTTGTTTCTTGGTTTTCTTGCAATTATGGCATGTCTTAAACAAAGTTAGGATTGATTACCCATGAAACTTCTTTTATAGCTTTAAAACCCTAGTTTTTGGGGAAATATGGAATTCTCTTTCTACATTTGCTCAAGCTTGGTTTTGAGAACTTTAGTGCTTTGAGTGAGTAATGAAAATGATGTGGTGGTGATCTCTTGTATTTTTCTTAATTGGTTATTTGGATTGTCGCATGATAAAATTTGGGGATTTTGATAATGGTTGCTTTTTGAGGGCAATGTGTGGATTTTATCTTATATGTGATTGTTAGTATGAAAAGAGGATAATTATGAACCGAGGTTACTCGTAAGTATGCGGTTAAGTGTGGAATACTTGAAGGGGGTAGAGGTTACTTGTAAGTATGCTACCTACCAAAAGAGGATATTTATGAACCGAGGTTACTTGTAAATATGCGGTTATGTGTGGGAGACTTCAAGGGGGGGTAGAGGTTACTTGTAAGTATGCTACCTACCAAAAGAGGATATTTATGAACCGAGGTTACTTGTAAGTATGCGGTTATGTGTGGGAGACTTCAAGGGGGGTAGAGGTTACTTGTAAGTATGCTACCTACCAAAAGAGGATATTTATGGACCAAGGTTACTTCTAAGTATGCGGCTATGTGTTGGATACTTGAGGGGGGTGGAGGTTACTTGTAAGTATGCTACCTACCTAAAAGGACATCTAATGACCGTGGTTACTTGTAAGTATGCGGTTATGGGAAACAAAGACTTGAAGGGGGTGGAGTTTACTTTTAAGTATGCCACCTGCCAAAGGAAATATAATAATCGATGGTGGAATAAGCGTTCCTTTTTGTAGTATGGTGTTACTATTGCATTTCCCACAAGAGCTTGTGGAGGTATGGGACTCTACAAGAACTTGTTGGAAATGGTTATGGTTGCTCATTGTGACTTGGGTTTACTGTTCATTTAAATTATTGCGAATGTTTAAACTTGAGATCTGTTTCAAATGTCACGGTTTTACTTCAAATGTTATATGATATTTTGGAAAATAAGACCGAACTGTTTTACTTGTTTTCTAAACCTTGTATGAGTATGGAAGGAATGTTGCTACAGAGCTTAATGCTCATCCCCTACAGATAATATCTTTTCAGATTTCGTCTATGAGGAGGAGTTACAAGTAGATGAACCAGTGCATGGGGAAGCTCCCCTAGAGGGGAACGGGGATCCTGAACTGGATGCCTAGAGTTATATTTCTTTTGTACTAGACTAGAGAGTTTATTTTGAAATCATGTAAAGTCTAGTATTTTGTTATTTCACTGCAAGTGTAATTTAATTCTTTTGGGAATATATTTGTCATACTTGGCCTATTCTTTTGGGATGGCATTGTGGATATGACATATGATGAATGAAGGTTTATTTTATGATGGATAAATAGACCCGGTGTGGTCAATAGTTATGCATATGTGGACCCGGTGTGGTCAATTGTAATTTAATTGTACAGGTTGTGTTTTGGGTAAAACTCCCCGTACAAAGGAGACTCTGCCCAAATTTTGTTAAAATATGAATGGTTGATGAATGAACTTTCGTTGTGATGAATTTACGTAATACTCTCATGGTGTGAATGGTTTTTAGAATGTAATGTCACCCAAGGGGGTTTTTGGGGCGTTACAGTAGCCATCCTCTTGCCCCATCAACATGTCACAACAAACAATACAGATCCAAATTTTACCTAGACCAATAAAAAAAACTGTAATTTGGTGATTAATTATTAAAAAAAAGGAAATAGTACCATAGAATTTCAATGCTAGTAATTTGGTAAATGCATGCTTAAAGAAAACACGGCCTAAATTAGTTACTGCACTCACCATCACTGTGAAACCCGGGAAAAATTTTAACTTTTTCTGAAAAAAAATGGCAAAATGGTAATTTGCCATTATAGTGTGGGTTAAAAAAAACTGGTATTTTTATAGACCTCGGATGATGAAACGGACCTCATCGTTGGATTCGTCTCACCAAATCTAGTTACCCAGACAAATTTCGTCGAATTTTGAGATAGTCAGATTTTTTACGTTTTTCGAGGTGACGGGTGTTCGATGACCCCTAAAAACGAAATTTTTATAAAAATTTGAAAATTTGAAAAATATTTTAAATAAATTTCATATAAAATATTTTGAACTTAAATCGGTACGAAATTTAATCGTTTCGGGATAAAAACGGACTCGGAGAAAGGACGACACTTGGCGCGACGAGGGCCAAGTGTTTAGAAAATATAAAAGTGGGCAAATATCTGAAAAATCAGATATTTGCTCTTCCTTTGGCCGGCTGGATCAGACCCAAGAGCAAAGAAGAAAAAAATATAATTCTTCAAGCTTTTTTTCGCCGATTCTCGGAGTTCCGTCGGTCGGAATTCGTCGGGCCAAGAATTAAAGTCGATCTACGCGACGAGAGCTACGCGTGGGTACCAAAAACAAAGATTTTCACCGAAGATTCAAAGGGAGGATTTTGGAGAAATCTAAGGTTTGGACTTCAATCTTGTTCTTGAGGCTTCCTTCAAATTCTTTACGCTTCAAGATGTAAGGTTCCTCGTACTCGGACCTATTTCTAACCTAAGGTGTCCATAGGGTTCATGTGGGCTGTTTTGGGTATTTCTAATATTTTTCCATTATGATTGGTGCTATGGAAATGGGTAGGATCAATTCTAGTGTGAATTGGTAGTTAGAAAGTGCTAGTTTGTGATTTCTTGAATGTTTAGATAATTGGTTATATAAAAATCATATATTCTGATTTTTATTTTGTTTGAATGATCCATATAAAATATTGGCTTGATTTTGGTATATGGAAGTATTTATGTAATCCCTTGGAAATTGGGATCATGTGGGCATGCTTTGTGTTTTATATTATGCCTTGTGAATTAAATGTAATATTAGCATGTATTATGTGTTATCATGTTGATGGAGTGTTGATATATGCTCTTGGATATATTGAACTTGAAATGGTTATGTGATTATATGCAAATGATATTAATTGTCATGGTATACAATGATATTTAAAAATTGTCATTTGGCATGCATTGCAATATGGACATGGAATTAACATCACATTCATGGGCTACATGCATGAGTGTGGGTGTAGGGTTGCATGGGGTGATCAACACCAACATTGGTACTTGATGCTAGGCTCGGGAAAGTGGGATGGAACGTCCTACGG